TCTGGGTCTTCATGCCACAACCCACGTCCAGTTCAGGTAGCCTGGATCCTAGGTATGTCCTGTGCACACCCAGTGTATCTAGGGAGGTCCCAGGGCATGAACCCAGGTCCTTCTCATGTGTGTCCAGTTGGATTCCTGTTGAGCTCTTACCTCACCCTCCCTCACAGGTTGTAATTGTTCGGCACATGTTTGTGGAGAAGTTGTTACACAGGACTTGTTATACAGCTGGTGTTCCATGTCTGAGAATGAAGGTCAAACGGACACAAGGGAAGCTCTTTAGGAACTGGACTTTCAAATTATTTGTTTACCACACTAGCAAAGACAGAAAAAAACAGGGTTGCAGTATGACTTCATGGACTGGGGGCTCTCTTGCCGCCAAGGTCCCTTCCTCCAAATGAAAATATTAACAATTACATTTTACTGCGACCAGCAGATGGTGTAATGGTTTTGTCACTGGACTCCCACTTAGTCGACCATGGTTCAAGTCTTGGACTCGGCGGCTTAAAACTCAATGCTGAGTGCGTGAATGTGTGTGTGTATGTGTGAGCCCAGAATCCTGAGAAGAATGAAGGAAAAGGGATTGAAGTGTGACCATTCCCTCTGGGGGGTGATTTATCACTTTCTGTCTCTCTGTCTCTGTCTCTCCGGCACATGTGCATGCCCTATAGCAAAAACAAAGCAAAACAAAACGAAAAACTCTTTAAAAATTACATTTTATAGATGATTGTATAAAAACACTATATTCCAAATTGGCTAGAATCGTAGTTTTTCCTTCTGAACCTAAATAAAAACATGGGCCAGCAGATGGCCTGGAGGTTAAGGTAGCTGGATCCCACATGACTGACTGTGTGGTTCAAGTCCTGGACCTGGTGGCTTGAAATCATGCTGAGTGCTGGGGCTAGCTGATGGCGTTGTGGTTACATCGTTGAACTCCCACATGGCCAACGGTGATTCGAGTCCCGGACCCAGTGGCTTGAAAATCACACCAGGTGCATATGCATGTGTGCCCCAAATCCAAAGGAGACTGGACGAAAAGGGATTGTGGTATGATCATCCTCTCCAGGGTGTGATTTCTCACTTTCCCTCTCTCTTTCTCTGCCTCTTTCTGGTGAGCACACATGTCCTGTAGCAAACTAGAAAAAAATAAATAAATGAAAATAAATAAATAACTTTATTTACTAAGTTATTCTCAGAACAGACGCCTTATTTAGCTCAGAGTTGGTAAGATTCTGAATAAGCAGAGATAAAATTAATAATACTTTATTGTCTGTCTAACACACACACACACACACACACACACACACACACCCTCTAGGTATTTGGGACCAGGTTATTTTTTGTGATGGGGATTACCCTGTGTATTAAAGTATGTGGGACAGTATTTGTGGCCTCTGTCACTCATCTCAGTTCCACATCCTAATCATGACAACCAAAAGTCTCCACATATTGCCATCGTCACTCTGGTTGAGGAAAATGTCAAAGCAGAGTCATTTCAGAAGAACACGACTGATCCTAGACTGAAATGGATCAACTTTTGCTATGCATCTTGGCAAGATTTATAATGTTGACCCATGTCACAAAAAGAGCTAATATTTTTTTTTGAGAGGTTTTTGCTATAGGGCACGTGTGCTTGCCAGAAAGACAGAGACAGATAGAAAGACAGAAAGCGAAAAATAACCCCCCAGGGGGGATGGCCATGCCACAATCCCTTCTCCTCCATTCTCCTCTTGGGATCTTGGGCACGTATGCACACATGCCTGGCGTGAGTTTAAGCCACTGGGTCCAGGACTCGAACTGCAGTCGAGTACATGGGAGTCCAGCGATATAGCCATTACACCAACTGCTGGTTCCCCTTCAGAACTTCTTAGAGAGCTGGTCTGATGTTGGTAAATTCTTTCAGGTTTTTTCTTGTTTTCTCTTCCCATATGAAGGGTAATCTTGCCGGGTATCGTATTCTTGGTTGAAATTGTTTTTCACTCAACACTTTAAATGTATTTTCCCATTCTTCCCTTGCATTGTTTCTGATGAGAGGTCTGCTGTTAGCCTGATGGGATATCCTTTGTAGGTAACATGACGTTTCTCTCTTGCCAGTCTGAGTATCTTGTCTTTGTCTGTGGTTTTGGTCAATCTGGCTATAATATGTCTTGGAGAAGATCTTCTTGGGTTGATCTTATTGGTCCTTTGAATTTCTTGGGTCTGGATCTTTGAATGCCTCTCTAGGTTTGGAAAGTTTTCTTCCAGGATTTCATGGAATAGATTATCAATGCCCTTATTAGTCTCTTCACCTTCTGGGATACCGATTATCCAGATATTTGGATGGTTAATGATATCTAGTATTTCTGGTATATTATTCTCATTTTTGGGGCTATTTTCTCAGTCTCTGTGGTGGATTTTATTAGTCCAACGATCCTGTCTTCTACATCTGAGATTCAATTTTCTGTATGATCTAGTCTGCTTTTAATACTTTCAAAGGAGGTTTTGTTTTGTTTTGTTTTTTTTTGAAGAAGTTTTTGCTCTAGGGTGCATGTGCTCGCCAGACAGAGAGAGACAGAGAGACAGAAAGCGAGAAATCACCCCCAGGGCGGGGATGGCCATACCGCAATCCCTTCTCCTTCACTCTCCTCTCAGGATCTTGGGTATGCGTGGACATGTGCCTAGCGTGAGTTTTTAAGCCACCGGGTCTGGGATGCAAACCGCCGTCGACTACATAGGAGTCCAGCAACATAGCCATTATGCTAACTGCTGGTCCCACTTTCAAAGGAGGTTTTGACTTCCTGTATTATAGCCTTCATCTCCAACAGTTCCATTTGACTCTATTTTATGGTGTGTATTTCCTCTTTCAGCTCTTGCAAGAAATTCCTCACCTCCTAGGACTCATCAGCTTTTTTCTTCTGGTGTTCACTGTCCCTCTTCTCTTTCATCTCTGTTAGTTTTGTCATTATGAATACTCTAAATTCTTTTTTTTTTTAAGAATTGTTTTATTTTACTTACTTTTTTTTTTTTCAATTTGACCAGATTGAGACAGAGAGAGAGAGAGAGAGAGAGAGAGGGAAAATGAGAAGGCAAGCCACCAGGTCTGGGACTCGAACCACAGTTGGCCATGTGGGAGTCCAGTGCCCTTAACCACCACACCATCTGCTGCCCCAATACTCTAAATTTTTTATCAGACATTCCCATGAGTTCAATTGTACTATCTGTGGATGAAAAGGAGTTGTTATTTTCTCTAGGGGGAGAGGTATTTTCTTGGTTTCACATATTTATTGTGCCCCTGCAGTGATTTCTAGTCATCTGATGGGTTATCCATTTCTTCCTAATTCTAGAAGATCAGTCTGAGCAATCAGAGGCGCACAGGAGCATGTGGTCTGCACTCTTTGGCATTGCATTTTTCTCCCAGGGTAGATTCTCAGCAGAACCTCTTCATTGCTTTTATCTCTGAAATCACTAGATCTCTCCAATGAGACTTTGAACCTCATGAAAGCAGGAATCTTATCTATCTTTGTCACTGTCATGTGGTAATGCCTCCTCAGTCACCGGCACTTAGAAGGAATTCATTTAACTTTCACTGAATGAATGAGTGAATCGTTGAGTGAGTGGGGTGATCAATCAAGACTGGCAATTGTTTAATTAGGCCTTAAATGCTAGCCTGACATCAAGATGATCAAAACAAAGAAATAGAGAGAGAGGAGCAGTCAGCTAGGCAAGGAGGAAGGATTGTGACCAAGTTTCATGACTACAGAGAAGCAAGTCACAAAGCCAGAAGATTTCCAGTATAAGTATCACCAGGGATTTGGGCTAGAGGATCTTGAGTAGACCCCCACCCAACACTGACCCTCCTGGTCTCCAAGTAACTCAACTCCTTTGGACATTTGAGAAATCAGACCTCTACTAAACCCATCCGAAGTTGGGTTCTCCCAGTATTAAAGGCTGGCTTCTATGTATTGCTGTATATGTCCCCATTGATGATGGACACAGATGTCCCTTTGACCCAGAAGCTCCAAGGTTGGAGGTGATGTCTGTGAACAGTACTGCAGGATAATCTGCCCGGGAGGTGAGATTGAGTGTAAGGTCAAGTATTCTAGGGGGCAGTGGTACAGTGGTAATGTAAATGGACCCACATGAGAAAGGTCCTGGGTTTGCATCCTGAGTTTGCTTGGATATGCACTCCTGTGCCCGTGATCCAGGCAGGCTGAGGCCGGGGGTAGATTGTGGTATGAAGACACTGTTGGGGGTGACTGCTGCTCTGTCTGTTTCTCTCTCATGGAAGAAACAAACTTTTTTCTTTTTTTTTTAAAGATAAGAAGGTTGGGCCAGTCAACTGGTATGGTGGTGAAGGCAGCTGGAGCCCACATGGCAAACTGTGAGCTTCAAATCTCAGACCTGGTGACTTGAAAAATACACTGGGTTGGGGCTGGCAGGTGGCATGGTGGTTAAGGTGCTGGATTCTCGCATGGTCAACTGTGATTTGAATCCTGGACCTGGTGGCTTGCTTTCTCACTTTCCCTTTCTCTCTCTCTCTGGTCAAATCAAATAATAATAACTAAAGTTAAATAAAATAATTCTTAAAAAAATAAAATCACTTTATTAAAAACAAAAAGCAAACAAACAAAAAAATACCAGGCATGTTGTATGTTTGCCCAAAACCCCAAGAGGAGAATGGAAAGGTAGAGATTGAAGTGTGACCAGCCGACCCCTTACTTTATATTCTATCCTTTTCAGAGTGTTCATCTCTGCTTTGGCCCCAAGGTGTCCGCTGGGATTGTCTTGTGCCCTCTAGCTTGGGAACTGTTCTAGCAAGGTATCACATGGGTTCTCCATCTCCTGACCAGAGCAGATGTGTCATTTTCCTGTCATAACTGAATGTGCTCATCACCTTTCTCAAGGGACTTCAGGAAGCCATGATCAAACAATGGCGGTTGGCATATGAGATCAAGCTCCCCCACCACCGAGACCCTTTGCCAAAAGCCTTGTTCTTCTGGCAGGTGAATGATGTGACCTGGAGGATGGGGGTAGCAAATCAGTCCATGGCTTCAGATTTCATTCTTGTAGGACTCTTCAGCCACTCTGGACCACACCTGGTCCTCTTCTCCCTTGTGTGCGCCATGTTCACCACAGGCCTTCTGGGCAACACCATCCTGTTCTTCTTGATCTGGACAGACACTAGGCTCCACTCACCCATGTACTTCCTGCTCGGCCAACTCTCACTGTTGGACATTGGGTTTCCATTGGTCACCATCCCCAAGATGGCGGCCAACTTCTTGCAGGGAGGGAGTTCCATCTCCTTCGGAGGCTGTGCAGCTCAGATGTTCTTCCTGATGTCAGTGGGTGTCTCTGAGGGTGTCCTGCTGTCTCTCATGTCTTATGACCGCTACGTGGCCGTGTGCCATCCCCTGCATTATGCCATGCTCATGAGACCCCAGGTCTGCCTGCTCATGGTGGGCACTTCCTGGTTCTCAGGCGTGCTGGTGGCCTCCATCCAGACGTCCATCACTCTGCACTTCCCCTACTGTGCCTCACGCACAGTGGACCACTTCTTCTGTGAGGTGCCCGCCCTACTGAAGCTCTCCTGTGCAGACACCTCTACCTATGAGTTGGCGCTGTCCGTGTCAGGAGTACTGATCTTGCTTCTGCCCATCTCGCTCATCGCCACCTCCTACAGCCATGTGTTGGGGGCTGTTCTCCGCATGCGCTCAGCAGAGGCCCGGCGCAAAGCCTTCACCACGTGCTCCTCGCACATCACCGTGGTCGGGCTCTTCTATGGCGCAGCCGTGTTTATGTACATGGTACCAGGCACCTACCACAGCCCACAGCAGGACAATGTGGTCTCCCTCTTCTACAGTCTCATCACCCCCACACTGAACCCCCTCATCTACAGCCTGAGGAACAGAGAAGTTCAAGTGGCCTTGGTCAAGGTCCTTAGCAGAGCTGGTGTTCGGTCAAAGAGATGACCTCTTGGGGGATGCTGCTTTTTCCAGGGCCCCTCCCTGACAGTTGAGGCTGATGTTTCAAATGAAAGACAAAGAGATCCCTCATTACCTTATTTTAAAACACAGGTGGGGGGACCAGCAGTTAGCATAATGGCTATGTCGCTGGACTCCTATGTATTCCTGCAGTTTGCGTCCCGGACCTGGTGGCTTAAACTCACGCCGGGTGTGTGTGCGTGCGTGCCCAAGATCCCGAGAGGAGAATGGAGGAGAAGGGATTG